TCATTTTTCTTAAAAGTCAAAGGCAGTTGTATACCGACCTTCAGCAGTGAGTTGACTGAGTCCACTCTGACGTCATAAAGTCCTGCAATATGCACCACGTTGTGTCCATCCTCCCTCACAAACAACCTAAAAAAAGATCAAAACAGGAGTTTAGAACCTCAGGAGATCAGGATGGAGAATTTTGACCCCTAAAGGACGTCTGGTTTCGCACCTCTGACGCCAAAGTGGCCAATAAGTAATATCCCATTTGAAGCTAATTTAGAGCATGTACCGGTAAATAAAAAGACCACCTTTTCCTGTTGTTGAGCAGGTCATAGACCTGACGACAGTAGATCTCACAGAAGCTGACGTACACCAGTATCGGGCTGCGCGTTGCCGACAAGTGGGTAAAGATGTCCTGGACCGCCAGCATGTATAAACCCGCTTCCCCAGGAGTGGAACCCATCATGGTATGAGTCTTGCCCGCGCCTGTCTGGCCAAATGCAAAGCAAGTGGCCTTCCCCCTACATATACAAATACAACCGGTGTAATTAGTATCATTAAATACCAATTAGAGTCTGTTAAAGCAGGGGAGATCCTTTAAATAATAAAATAAAACTGAGCTGAAATTAGGTATTACAGTTTGTCGAACTGCTACCATTAAATATCGAGAGACAGTCTATAGTAGTTGGAAACATCTCTTTTTAAAAAACAAAACAAAACAACAAAAAAAAAACGTACAACTCAGTAAACGTAAAAACAAAAAAACTGTAATAGAAGTGAATTGATAAATATAAGGAAACAAGTGGGTGGGTTGACACATTACCCATCGAGCATGTGCTGCACCAGAGGATATGCCGTCTTCTTATATACTTCCTCATTAGAATGATCCTCTCCAAAAACTTGGTCAAAGTAGAACGGGTGCTACAAATCAAATCAGATAATGTGACCTAAGCATTTTGGAGACAGTAATTGGTGTCTCAGGGTATTATCATTTTAAAATTGAAAATTTGAATTGTCGTACCTGTAGAATGTACTGGGTGAGATCCACAGCTTCTTTGCCTTCTTCCACAATCACGCACTGCGCGCTGGGAGTTATCACCACATCCGTCTGGCCCTTCCTTCTCTCTACGTGTGTCAGAGGTCGTTTCCTCACGCAAACGATGATCCTAGGCCCATGGGTTTGCCTACAAACAACACAGAGTCCAAATGAAAGAAAATGAAGCAACTACAATTAAATTATGCCATCACTTTCCATCTGCCTACTAAACCTGATGCACGTTTGATACTAAACCAATCATTTCCTTTGGAGGAGTATGGCAAACTAGAACCATTGCAAATGCTTAAGAATTTTCACGGTAAATCAATATGCTTTCTTATTTTTCGGCATTGGTCCATAATACATTACCGGTAAGTATGATACAGAATATAAAATTACTTCGGGAATGGCATCTATTAGTAATAAATAAATACAATTTATAAGTAGAATTACATGTCTATGATGTGTATTTTATTTTATGAGTATGAATCTAGCTTTCTTTGCTGATTGACCATTGAGGTTATGGCATCCCTTTTTACATCCTTTTCATACACTTGATCATTCAGAACAGCTGGTGGGTCGTTCACTGGGCTGCACAAGCACTCAACTCACTTTTTTTCAGAAACAGGCTGAAGAGGAAGTCCATAGTTGTACCCTGGTTTTCTCTTGGCTTCGTAAACAGGCATTGGATGACTTGCTTTATCCGTGCACCTCTTGGCTGCAGCTCTGGGTTTTGGGTGCTGCTGGTGGTGATGGTGGGGCGCGACATTCCTTGGGTGTGGCAGTGTGGAGTACGTATTGTACATGGCTAATCGTTTACTAATGTCTGGCCTGGCATTTTTTGGTAGCGTCATGTGGGTACTCTGCAGTGCAGAATGCTTATGGGATGCGCCCTGGTCTTCCGCCACTTCTCCAAGTCTCAACCCCTCCTGCTCCAGTATTTTGACAAGGTGGATTAGCTTGAAGAGGCGGCTTTTATCTTGGGCCGTGTGGATGTCCAGGAGGGGCAGGTCCTCCGAAGTGAGGGCTAAGAGATGTGCTATGTGGAAGATCCCCATTGAAGTGAAGCTGAAAAGTATATGGAGGACGGAGGAATGAGTGCTGGTTGGACCGAGTTTGGATGGAAGATCTTGTAATTACCGCTCGTGAAGATGCTGAAGGCCCACCACCTTGAGGCACTCAAACAGGCTCAGTGTCATGATTGGATGATCTTCCACTTGTCTCCACAGATCCTGGCGGGGGTCAGTAACTCAAATTTGTGATCAATTATACAATGAAGCGTGAAATCAATACAGTAATTCCCCACATGTTCGCAGTTCACTATTTACAAATTAACCTATACACATCTCAACTGACAGATAAGCTTTGTGTGTCGGGGAGGAAATAACTAACCTGGGTTTTTAGCTGAAGTAGTTGGGAGAGAATTTTTGCCACGAGTATGTACATGTGCGCTGACATATTGTTTTAGCCCTTAAACACATTAATTAAAACACACTTTTTAAACATTTGTTTCATAAGTATTGAAAATATATGTAGCCTATTTTAGTGCCTGGGTACCTGCATGTATTGTAGCGTGTAATGGTGAGTCTGGGGATGAGCTGTGGCTGACAACAGATCCTTTGTGAGTGTGCTCATGTTTTACTGTTCTGCCAGAGTTCTAAAAACAGCTGACAAGTGTATTGGTGACTGTGATGCTCCTTTCCCACATGCAAGGGCATCACTGTACAGTAAGCTGGCTGTAAAAGCCATGAGAACCCAAAAGAATCACTTAAAAAAAAAAAACCACTCAATATCATGGGGTGTAAAGAACGAAACGGGATTTAGCGGGGAACACTGTATAACAGTGGTCACCAACTATAAATAGCTCACCACTAATGGGAAACTGATTTCCTTGGAATACTGTGGAAGGGATCATTGGAAAGTACAAACACTTGCAGAGATTGATAGAAATAGAGTGTTGCCTCTAAGTTTTATACCTTGCTATCGTTGATATTTATTCTGCGAAATCATCAACATGATCGGTGTCTTCAGCTGAATAGATGAATATTATCAGTACTTAATAATAATTATAATAAAAATAATTTGAGCAAATATATTATTTCAGAAATGTGTATCAAACTGGAGTCGCTGATGATGTAGTGGTACCTGACTTGTGTGAGTGCGACGTGGGATCGGTTCCCACTCAGTGATGGTGTGGATGTGGGTGTGAGTGGTTGTTTGTCGCTATATGTGCCCCGCAACTGACTGGTGACCAGTTCAGGGTGTAGTCCGCCTTCCGCCCGAAGTCAGCTGGGATAGGCTCCAGCAATCGAACCACTCCTTTCCCCCGCGACCCTGTTCAGGACAAGTGGTATTGAAGATGGATGGATGGATGGATGGATGGATGGATGGATGGATGGATCAAACTGGTAGCCCTTTGCAGTAATCAGTACCCAAGAAGTAGCTCTCGGTTTCAAAAAGGTTGGTGAATTGGGGGATTACTGTATCCATCCATATGCTGTGATGGATCCAAATGATACAAAGCCTCCTACCGCTGCCATGGCAATGTGTCCTTGCTGATTCCCCTCCTTTGTGCCTTCTGTCAGTCAATAGCATTGACCACAATGTCATCACAAAACTATTTGAGGAAAGCACAAGACAAAACGTGAAAAATATATTCCCTGTAATAGTGGCCTTCATTTAAATTGACACGGCACCTCTCGTTAAATCGACTACATTTTCATCACAAGACTATTGATGCCACACCTCAAGATGCCACAACTCAATGTGAAATACAATTTAAAAATTATTGATATGCACTGTATTAGATAAATATTGGCTCTGAACCACTCCGGGTGATGTACAGTACGTGGCACAACTGTGTGTTGTTATATTGTATAGTATTGATAGTTTCTATAATAGTGTCGTGACAGTGGAAGAGGTATAAAGAGGTGAATTGAATCAAGTTAATCTCCATTCATGGCCCAGGTACCAAATCATGGCCCACCACTGACCATATGACAATAAGACTGCACAAGCGCATAAATACACAAACATTTACAATAACAAAACATAAATTCGACTGACTGGCCATATTGAAAATCATTTATTGAACATTTTCATCTGATAGTTGAGAGTGGGCATTTTATATCAATTCAACATCAATATGACATCACTTGGTGTTGAAGACCGTCACATTCATATGACATCAATTGATGTTGAAGAGTGAATGAAGATTGTCATATTGATGTTGAGTTGACACCAAGTGCCAACTGGGTTTGAGAACTGGAATTTTTTTTTAGTCCTGTAAAACGTAAAAGAAAAAAGAAAATTGACTTACCAGTGTGAGTTTCGTGCAAACACAAGATGAACGTTGAAGAAGGCCGAAGAAAAAGCGTCGCACGTTTCCGATGTCCGATGATGTTTGAAAAGTGCACTGGACGTCATACGGGGCGTCGTAATATGCGAGCCTTTTGACTAAAAACGATCTGATGGTGCTCATTTATTGCTAGCACGGGATTAAAAGACGCATTAAGTCGCTCCCTTGCGACAGTTTGCGTTATCGCTATTTCCCCACACTTGGGTCTCCATGGCGACGCTCTCGAAGTTGATAATCCAATAAAATACGATTAGATCAATTAGTCACGAAGTTTTAAGAGATTTACATTGCATCGATTAATGCGAGTATTCTGATTATTATTGCTACTCAGAACGTTTATAAGAACTTTATTTTTGTATCAAAGGAAACACATTAACGCTCAATATTTGATTTCAATTATGATACAATGCAAACAGTCCGCCGTGGTCGCCTTGTGTTTCTGCCGGACGATAATAAAGGAGTCGCTCGCTCTTTTCGCCGGGTGCATGGACGTCTAAAATGAACCTGGACTCACGGTGGCCGCTTGCGGTTGAAGAAAGAGGGAATACATGTTGCGTTGCCACTATTACAAACAATTCAGTTAGATTCTTTTATCAATGCGGGTTTTTTACGCTAGGATCTCTATATGAGGTATTAGGATCCTAGAGGCGAACGAACTTTCAGTGTATATTATCTCAATATCGTGAACCATGACTTACGAAGTTAGGTTTTCACATCATAGAGGGTTGATGCGCAAATATAATCAATTTCCTGGCATTTTTCCTCATAGCCATTGCTTCCATTTCATTATTCATGGTTGTGACAACATAATGTAGACGAGCATTTGAGTATAGTTTGGGAGATATACCTTCTGAGATAATGATTATGATCACAATAGAGATATTCGGTATTTTATAAGAGAAACATTTTGAACCAAAATTTTACCGCAAACGTGCAAGCAGATTGTCCTTCTCCCGTAGTCATTGGTACTACTATACGCCACGAGCTGCAGAGAAACCAATGTATCCGAGTCAGTTGCTTTAACGAGTGGCAACGTAAGATGGCCGCCAGAGACTTCAATTAAATTACCCGTCCGGGTTATTTTTACACGTCCGTGGCCCGTTGACTGTGTTTTACTCTGCGATTCTATTGGCTTGCATATTTTGCCGGGGAACAGTATTAGCGGTAACACACAATATGCTGAGCGTCGTTAGCACGTTGTGCTAATCCCACCCAAAAATCCTCGGTTGTTGCAGTTGAGTTATCTTTTTGGGAAATGTAAACAGTAATCCATATGTATAAAATTTAGTAGACTCGTACTGTAACATTCAATGTAAAAACCGAAAGTCGACATTGAGTTAGGTTTCAAATTAGCGTGGAGTTTAGTCTAGCATTAAAATGTAACACCATCGGCACTTTCGAATGTTTGTTGCTTGTGGTTCTATTCACTAAATATCAAACCTTGGCGTCTTTTAAAAGACCATTTAAAATCTATCGATGTATTTACCAGCTGAGCATGAACGTAATTAATAAACAAATTTAGGACTAAATTAGCGTTGTGCCTCTGACACCCACTCACCTGGCCCCCTGAATTTTTGTTTGGGAGATTCCAAACCGCCGTTGTGCCGTCGGCAAAGGTCAAAGCGAAAAGGGACAGTGTAACTTTTGTCGGAGTTTGTCAGACTGTGTCTCGGCCTGCATCGGGAGTACCTGGGAGTGGTTTATTGGAGTTTGACAGTCTGTGTCGGTCTGCGTGGGGAGTACCTGGGAGTGATTTATTCGATTTTGACAGTCTGTCGGTCTGCGTGGGGAGTATCTGGGAGTGATTTGTAGCGGACAGCACTGCTATACTGTATGTGTAGTCAACATTTTGAATGAATGTGGATTCTGTTGCTCATGGCCACTGAATGCACGAGCAACTTTGTCAACCCTTGACCACTTAGGATGGCATCACACTATCTAAGTTATATCTTTATGTAATGTTTGTCGAATTGGCTTCTACCGAATTGAGAGAGTCTCTGAGGTTATGTATGAATTCCTCGATGGATTCCTCTTCAGCTTTCACCTTATTCTTTTGCCAGTATGGGTTCCTTTCCTTTTACCTTAAATCATCTTCCACCAGTGTAGCTTTGACATCTTGTTGCAGTTTCTTTTGTCAGCGTAGTTCTTTCACAAACAGCCTGTTCTTTTGCCACTAAAGGTTCGACAGGTGTTTCTTTAGCGACCATAACTTCCGCTTTACTTTTCAGCATCATCTCTCACTCAAGGGTGATAGGTTCCACATATTGTGCCAACCAAGCTCCCACTTCATATTTCGGCATCTTATTTCATCAACATATTGACTCTAATTGTAAGCATATTCTTACTAGTTTTAGTTAAAAATTCATACAATAAAAAAATGCCCCATTGAGGATCAGCCTTCATGATTATTTTCTTGATCAGGAATGCCCATGTGGCAAGTAACCAACATGTCCTCGGAGGAGAAGACTTGGCAGATCTCGTCTTCATCTGTTCCTCCCCCACCATCCTCTCATTTTGTCGGGAAACGGGATGACATCATCAGACGTGGCCGTGTGACCAAGCTGGTGAATGGATGCCGGGATGTCCTTGTAGTGTATCACCACGGGGAATTCCATGCCATGGACATGCGCTGTTACCGTAAGAGTCCTGCAGTTGAATACAATATCTTTGTTAGCCAGCATTACTTCATCTTCCTGCCATTTCTCCCCTTGCATCTTGTGGCACCTTCTTTGCTGTCTCTTCATCTGTTTGTAAACCATAAAGAATTGTTGACTGTGATAAATTAATGAAGGAATAAAGCAAACTAACATGATATTACTTTGACATCAACAGATGCTGGCGGTGCTTTGGAACTTGGAGACATTGAGGTGAGTTTTCTAGCGTCTGCATATTCTATTATCAATATGACATCTCAGTTTTGTGTCAATTTTACTAATCCATCAGGAGTTCAATGGGCGCGTGTGCATCGTCTGTCCATGGCACAAGTACAAGATCACACTGGTGGAAGGCGAGGGGCTGTACCAAGCCGTGGATAACCCCACCGTCAAACCTCTGATAACTCACTGGCGCTCCAAGGGTGTCAAACAGAGGGTCCACAAAGTTACTGAAGTGAACGAGGACATATACGTCACACTGAATGACTCCAGAGAGACCATTGAGTCCGATTACTACCAAACTGACACATACAGGTCCAATTTACGGATCCAAAAAGTCAGCTGACAAGAGAATATGTCATGTTTTGTATGTAGTGTACAGTATGTCTCTTTGATATATTATGAGACACACTATGTTTCCTTCTTGTGGTCAAATCATTATTTTATGAGTGCGGTGGGTACATACAGTAGGGGACCATCACTGTTCGCGGGGGATAGAAACTGGGTTGCCTTACGAATTGTGAAAATCTGCTTATAATTGACGCCTGTTGAATTGGAGAAAAAAAATAGTAATGCTAATAAGCATTCACTATGCATTTCCAGGAAAAAATGGGTGGAAAAAAAGAAAATAGAAAAAAAAAAACATCCACCACCACATGTGTATGGGGGGCCTCCACTGGAACTTAAATTTTTTGGTTGCAACAAACCTCTGTTTAAAACAAACTATGTTTTCAGGTGAGAATTCTTCAATCAGCCATTAAATGAATGACCAAGTAACTCCAAATATTTTAAATAAATCCATCCATCCAATTCTCTACACAGCATATGCTATTTAGGGTCGCATGGTGCCAGAGCCCATCCCAGATAGATGACTTGGACAAAAGGTGCCCTACACCCTAAAATGGTTGTCAGGCAATTGCAGAGCACACAAAATATAGAGACAATCATTCAGACCGTCACCATTGCCTGCACCGAAGTCAGGTGAATGTGCCACTACAACATCAGTGTCTCTTTTGAATAAATTAAAACCCAATAAATAAATACAAAGTTTGTAAAATATTTGAATAAGAAATGCAATAATTGATTACTGGTACAAAAATATGTTTCCTATAATTATATAGGTTCAGTATAGTTGAAAATATTCCACAGTTTAATTGAATCATGGACAGTTTAATAAATTATTGTATATTCATTCATTCATTCATCTTCCGAAACGCTTGATCCTCACTAGGGTCACGGGGGTGCTGGAGCCCATCCCAGCTGTCTTCGGGCAGTAGGCGGGGGACACCCTGATCCGGTTGCCAGCCAATCACAGGGCACATATAGACGAACAACCATCCACGCTCACATTCACACCTAGGGACAATCCAGAGTGTTCAATCAGCCTACCATGCATGTTTTTGGAATGTGGGAGGAAACCGGAGTACCCGGAGAAAACCCACGCAGGCCCGGGGAGAGCATGCAAACTCCACACAGGGAGGCCGGAGCTGGAATTGAACCCGGTACCTCTGCACTGTGAAGTCGACGTGCTAACCACTGGACTACCGGGCCGCCCTTTGTACATTCAATTAGCTTTATTTAAATTTTCATTCATGTAAATGAATACACTAGATTGCCACTGCATAAATAGTTCATGTTTATTATTTAAGGTCAATAGAAATAATTTATGACTATACAACTCCACTTAATGGGCATCCTTTTAAATTATTTCACATTTTAATGAATTCCAACCATACTTTAATGAGTGAGTTTTCTGTATTTAACTGGTTTTATTTTAATGTTCGCACGAAGAACGCCCCGATTGTCAGTGTTTTATGTTGTGTGTTTTGTTGCATTATTTTATGTTCAGTGTTCTGTAAAGCGCTTTGTTACAGATGCAGCTCTTTTCAAAGTACTATATAAATAAAGATTTATTATTGTATGCCGTATAGATGAATACAGTAAATTGCATTGAATTACACATACAGCACACTAGACAATAAAGTTGTATCCAATCCAATCCAATAATTGGAATTTGCCACTCCAAACCACTGCATGCGACAGGGGGCAGCAGTGTACCATTTTAATCTAAAAGAAGAGAGAAAAAGAAGTGGCCAAACGTCATTACCTGCGACAAAGAGTTTATAATATTACATTGCTTAACTGTCACACATTTCTTAGATTTGATCAAATTGATGTTAGCGTTGATATTTTGTCCAATTGGACTTTATTTTTTTTTCGTCGGTTTCAGTGTTTTTAGAAAATGCGAACGATAAAAGAGGCTAAAACTTGCAAGTGATCCGCCGTGATGGCATCAGGTTGGTTTTGTTTGGCTTTTCGTGTTTTCAAATTAAATAATGCATATTTTTCAATTTATACATTTCTTTTTTTCCGCAGAGGAGGAAATCAGCCTGTTAGTCATCGTCGTGGACGTTAACCCGATTTGGTGGGGCCAGCAAGCCCAGCGTGAGCCGGAGGTACGTGAATGAGGACACCAAACATTAATCCTATTGCTATCACTCATAAACTGTTTGTTCTGTGGCCCCTAGTTCACGCTGTCCAAATGTATGGACGCTGTTATGGTGATGGCTAATTCTCACGTGGCCATGAGCAGGAATAACAAGCTGGCCGTCATCGCCAGCCACTGCCAAGACAGGTTTTACGCCATTCGTCTCTGTCTGTCTCTCTGTCTATCAATATCTATCTTTACGGCTATCATGTAATCCACAGGTGTCAAACTCAAGGCCCCGGGGGCCACATCTGGCCTGCCACATCGTTTTATATACCTCACGAAAGCAAATCAAGCATGTCAACTTCTATGATGCTTGATAAAAATCACCAAAATTTCAAATTATCCGATGTAATATCGAACACTGAAATATTTTTACAGTACCTTTAACAGTTCAACAATGTATTGTTTTTGACTTGATTTAAAAACTAGCTATCCATCAACTTGTAGTGTGCTGTATATGTAATACTATGAGGAGGGGGTTAAACATTGATATGTTTTCACAGTCTTAATGACCCTGAGGGAAACTGATATTGAAATGTGGCCTGCAACAAAATGAATTTGACATCCCTGATTTAATGCATCAAAATGTCTTGATTTGATCGAAATAGCTTGTATATGAATAGACTCAATGTCATGCTTTTCATTTCAGTCACTTCCTGTATCCCAGTCAAAGTCAGCCAGACGGCAACGGCACCCCAGACGATGCATGCTCTAGCGGCGATGGCAAGTATGAGCTGCTGTCTATCGCCAACGGCATCATTGCTGACCGGATCAGAAACTTGATGTCCAACAGTAGGTTGACGCCACTACTTAATAATGACACCATGGACACAGAATGTATTGTACTTCAATTTAAATACAACTGAACTGTACTTAACAAAGGTACTGTTGTGGATTTAAAAAAAGATTGACTGTATGTTGTGCACAATTTGAACATGTATTCCATTGATTCTTTTCCTACCACTAGAGGGAGCCCATGTACTGTACCTCGAGAAACACATTGAGAATCACTTTGCCATGAAATTGGGGGGCGTCAAGTTTGATTATTTTGAGGATTTGCATAAAAAAAAAAAAGCGATGTGTACACCCATATGTTGCTGCTTTCAGCTTTAATAATTCTTTTGACAAATTATCTTTTGGGGGCATCAACACACACCTAATTGCATCAGTTTGTTCAAGCCAGCGTTTCCTGGTGAAAATGTATGAATTTTAAGCGTGTCCAACTGGTTTCACTCAGTCGTGTAGCCTGGAAAGTTTAAAAAAAAAAAAGAAAAATAATAAAAAATTACCCTAACACCAGTTTTGCAGAGCAAGGCAAAATTAGGTGGACATGTCTGTTGTGGCAGGTTACACACAAAAAAGTCTTCAAGTATCTGTGGCCAAAATTCCACAAGAAGACAGCCATTTTGGTTTGAAGCAACCATTTTAGACGAATTTCAGGGGTTGTGATTTGATGCCCTCCAAGTCGAATTCTGCCAAATGAGGCCCACTAGTGCATTGCATCAGTTTGATGATCATTTTGAGGATTCACATTGAAAAGGGGGTGCTGGGGGGCTTTAATTTATGTGTTCACTTTGCAGTTGAAGTGACAGGAGGTTCCACAGACACTTTGCTAGCTGGATCCCTCGCCAAAGCTCTCTGCTGTATCCTTCCACTACAATCTGCATATTTGCTGTTAGGACAATACGACACTAGACAAATAACTCAATATATATATTCACAACTATATATTGCAAAGAAGATATTTCATCATTTTTGACAAACTATAAAACACTACAAATGGATTACATATATATTGTAACATAAAAGTACCAATTAGAAATTATCGATGAAACATACCGTAAATAACATTTTTGGAAAAAAATAGATTGCAAAACAGACTTTTAGAAATTACATAATTTTGACAAAATGTAAGACAATATCAATGAAATAATACAGTTTAAATAAAAAGAGGAACAAACATTTTGACAAACGATTAAACAGTGATATAAATATATAATAACACTGGGGGAAATGCGTAATCTGTTCAGTTAATTCTGTTTTTCACGGCCCTCTGAATAGGTATCGTTGGTCAGCATGGAAGGATCACTCGTTCTGTACTTTTTGATCATTTATTGGAGCACTTTGCAGTAGAAGTAGTAGCAGCAGCAGAATCAGTATTCTAAAGCAGTAGCAGTTGTAACAGAAGCAGTATCAGGTAATAACCTAAAGCACACATAAATGCAATAAAATGAATACATCCATCTTTCTGCATCACAATGTAAATATATATAATTGACATTAATTAATACCTTTATTTTAACAATACGTTTAATAATTTAATCACCCATGAGTTCACTATGTATTATTATCATCGTCATCATTATTCTAAACGTAAGAAACCATACAACACAAACATATCAAGTGGAATCGAATAAAAGAACTACAAGTCCCAATGGTCAAACCCGGAAGTGGAGCGCGGGCTGATTAACCCCAGCTGCAACGCAATTTACTTAGTTTAAACATCACAGTGCAGCCGGACAAACATGACAACTATGCAAAAAAACGAGCTAAATAAAGACACCACTGTTCTAGCAACACTTTAGCCCACGCTGTTTAAACTGCCGATTGCGAACGGTAACTGACTGTGATTGCAGAGCGATGCGGCAAACAAAGCACAACGAACACAACGCAAAGCAGACAAACAAAGCAACCGGTCATGATCGAATCTAAAAGATAACATATCTGGTAAAGAAGAGCACACGCGTAGCTTACCATTGGGCCATGCTGACGACGAAGTGAGTGTATTCTCTAACGAAACAAATTGAGATTTTTTATACGTCGCGCGAACGGTCACCTGTCAGTGTGAGCCCCGCCCCTCTTAAAGCGCCAGGTGAATACAACATAATCCCCTTTCATATTTTTCACCAATTAATCTCTTAATTATTTCAACTCAGATATTAACAGAGTCTCAAAGGAACTTGAAGGTACTTCCCATGACTATTTTAGTCATAAATTGTCTTTCATGTGTAATTTTTTTCTTTTTTGTCAGTGGGACAGGAGGTAAAATCGCGAATTTTGGTAAGCATTTGCGTGTGTGAATGATGTATTGTGGTGAAAATCAGTCTTGTTATATGTATGCATTGGAATTTGAATCGAATAAATGGGCTTGATTAGGTGATCAAGGCAGCAGACGACTGCGCCCTGCAGTACATGAACTTCATGAATGTGATCTTCGCCGCCCAGAAGCAGGTCAGGATTCATTTGTTGCTAATTTGAACACAGTTATTGATCCACTTACTATGTTTTTGTTAACATTTGTCAAATTCTTTGTTTTCAAAACAGAGCATCCTGATAGATGCATGCGTGCTGGAGTCAGACTCGGGGCTGCTACAGCAAGTAATTATTGCCCTTGGAGCTCTTTTTACACACACACACACACACGTCCTACTTACAGTGATACATGTTCACTAGAGATGAAAAGATCATTGTCGCTGTGAATACTGTAGTCATGATTAAAAAAAATAGTAATACTAGCTGCTGTTTAAAAGTTTGACAAAAGGGAGAGACCTGATTATTGATGATACTAGTGAAGCCTGTACTACTGGAGACAAATTCCTTGTGTGTTCTACATATTTGGCCAATTGAGATGATTCTGATTCTGATTGTGATTGAAAAGCCAGTTGTCCTTCCTTCTACTTTCTGAACCGACAGGCTTGTGATATAACGGGAGGCTTGTACCTGAAAATTCCCCAGAAGGCGGCTCTGGCTCAGTACCTGCTGGTGACCGCCGCCACTTGCTCCAATTTTTCACGTCTATTGGTAATGGACATCAAGGTGCTATAAAAGTTTGTGTGACTTTACGGCACAGTGGGTGTTCCTGCCAGACGGCGAGCAACGTTCACAGCTGCTGCTGCCGCCGCCGGCCCACGTCGACTACAGGGCGGCGTGCTTCTGCCACCGCAACCTCATCCAGATCGGTTACGTCTGCTCCGTTTGCCTCTCCAGTAAGTGCTAAAGTCTGAAGATCTACTTTGTGGTTTTTAAGGAAACAAGCTGTAATATTATGAGAGTAAAGCCATTTTTTATCAGGGGAAAAAAAGTTGGAATAGTATCACAGCAGTCATTTTATTTGATTTAAAAAAAAGGTTACTGGTGTGATCCGATTGGTAGGCTAATTAATGCATAGCGAAAACATTTATAGCATCAAACTCTTTGAAATATACTCGCCATCTGCTGGATTGATGTTGTTACCGAAAATGACATATTTTCAATCCCCCTTAACCGCAGTTTCTTCAAATAAACAAACTCGAATCCTTCCTGATCTTTCCATCAGACATGTATCAGGCGCTGCCGTAGATATGGTCCATGAAGTTGTATTAAAAATCTGATTGTTTTTCATTTTATACAGAGTCAAGTTCATTAATTAATCTCCATTTTATACTTCTGCTACTTCTTTCTCCACCACAGTATTCTGCAACTTCAGCCCTATCTGTACAACCTGCGAGTGAGTTAAAAAAAAAAAAAAGTATTTTTAATTACATTTATATTTAAATATTCAGTTTTGCGTTGAATAATTGTTTGTGTTTTGTAGGACGGCTTTCAAAATCCAGCTCCCACAAATGGTCAAAGGCAAAAAGAAGAAATTCAAAGCATCGTGATCATTTTTTTCTATTACCTCAGCAGCCAAATTCATGAATATTGTATATGATCAATCGTTTACAATTTGTAATTTTGAATCCTGTTTATCCAGTGATGACTATTTTTTCAAATGTAGAAACTTAAAAAAAAAAAAAAAAACCCACCCTGAATTTGAAAAGGTCTTTATTCACATGAAGATCATGAGGCTCAACGTGGAGGCATGGGGACGATCTTACACCTGGCAAGAAAACATGCAGAATGATGTGTGGCCAATCATATTGTAAATACATCTGTGCTATGAACTCACCCCATCAGACCCTGGCCAGACCACCGCTGCGGAGTCAAGCTCATGTGGGTTCTCTGACCCCCGCGTACCACTGTCACTCGCAGCGGCTTCTGAGAAAACAAAATAAAACAGTGTTGCTGCAATTATTGCAGGTTATGGGGCAAGTCTTTAAGGTGTATGTGTGGGGGGGGGCGCTGGTAATAGGGGGTGCTTTATGTAAGATAATTTTGAATTTGATGTGGTAAGGGATCGGGAGCCCAGGGAAGGGGACTACTGCGGCCAGAGTTATACATGGACACGATTTTAGATTGGAAGAACATAAGGAGGGATTTGTCAACAGTGAATTGGTTAGATGTGTGATCACTGTGGTTGATGAGTTTGCTAATAGTGGAAAAGAACTTTTTGGTGGTTGGAGCCCATGTGGATGAGTTTTCACAAATCTCCGGAGATTCAATTGTTCCAAGCAGTTTAAGATTAATCCAAGTGCTTGTAATGTTCACTCTACTACAAAGAGTGTCACAAAAGAAAGAAAAGAGGACGGAGATTATTTAAATTTAGAAGTAGAAGCAATGATATAATGTGCGCACACACACTGAAAACTACTACAAAGTAGCGTGCAAATAGTTTGTAAAATTTCCCAAATATTAAATTGTTACACTGACGATTGATTGTAAATACATTATTTTGTCATGAAAAACAGATTTTCATGGTTGCTTTTGGTATTTTATCAAGGAAAAGGACTGTTGGTGGCCACATTAAGGCAAGCCATTTTAGCATCTTGACATGTTAAGACACTTTGAAGCGTCCATCTGGAGTCTTACCCCTTCACTGTGCTGCACAACAGAGGCAATGTTGTGGAGGTTCTGGAAGTTGCCAGTATTCACTGAACCAAACTCAATGACTTCATCTCCCACTTTGAGGCCCTTTTGCAAGAAAGGAAAGCAACAAGTCAAGAAAGGCTCTCAAACACCACCGCCAAAGTGTCTCCCATCACTCACAGCTGCGGAGGCGGGAGAACCCTGCGTGACTGCATCCACCCGCGCAAAAGCGGCCGGGAGCGTGTCCTGCTGTTCCATGGCCTCTTCGAAAGCTTCCGTCCGGTCGTGCAGGCGCTTGGCTTTCTCCCGAGCATGCAGCTTGTGCAAGGCATCCTCGATCTCCGCCATGATGGCCTTGTGGTCGTTCTGCAGGCCTGCCACGGCAAACGGTGAGAGACGTCCATTACTGTAGAGTTTGAGACGTACACATTGATTTACAAGGCAGATAAAAATGGTCATGACTGGAGAAGCTCCGATTTGTGTCAGGTGTATTCAAAGGATGAGTCGTTTTATTTTGTTCAGCTTGAGGATACACCTTTATTTCTTTACACTTGTAAGGCAGTTAGTGTTTATGTACTTTTTCTGGGATTTCGTATATTTTTGGCTAATAGTTTCCTGTACTTTTGTAAAATGTCTCAAATGTTTTAAAATGTTCTTGCTAACTTTGTATTTTTACCCCAAGAATGTAGTACTTGTCTAATATTAGTTCTTTAAAATATATGTACCGGTACATATTTTTGGACAAAGTGTGTATTTTACTATTGAATATAATTTCTATTTTCTTTCATACAAGTATGTGATTTTTTTTTCAACACACGTTTTCCAATATTGTCAGATTTCTGTGGAAAACAGTATCTGAGGGCATTACTAACACTAAATAACTTGAATAATGTATTTATGAAAAACATAGTTAATATAATTAGCTAAGAAAAAAAAATTTGCTGAATGAAAAAAAAATTTGATAAACTTCTTTGAGTATGTTAAATATTATCGCAATATTCAGTACCCATATTACATATTTTTCCAATATTGTAAATATAGGTGACAATTGACTAATTTCTGACATTTTTCTTGACACAATTTTCGTGTCATCACATCGTGCAGGTCTGTTTTGTGAACCTCGGACAAAAATGCACACTGGCTTGTTTTCTGCATCTATTTTTACATATGATGTACGATGGAATCTCCTCTGTGCCTCACTTTGATTTCCATGCAGTATTTCGGTGTTCACGGCACGCACGACGGGATAGCTCATTTCTGACCACCCAAATTGTGTTGAAACCTAGCTTACATTTTAATATCCACCTATTGCACACTGCACATTTTGAGTTATTCGGAGACATGCAAACAAAGTTTCATCAAATTTGCATGATGCTGGAAAAAAATGATACGGTGCCAAAATTTTGGCGCCTAACCGTGATTGTGGGGAAGCTGTCCATTGGGATAAGCCAGCTGTCTGTTGCCAGCGAAGGTGTGGGAATCTGGTAGCCAAACAAACAGACGGGGGTCGTACGGCAGAGATGTTTTTTTTAATTATGGCAGTCATAGTCGTTCCCTGTGCTTATCTCGACTTGTGATGCTTTTCTTTGCTCTTACTTGTTCCGAAACAGTCACTTGCCGCTTTGCACAGACACTCAATCAAAGGTCGTTCAATTTTTTTGAATTGGAAACAAGAGGATATTTTTGCCTGCTTTTTAAAGCCTTTGAATGTCATAACTTCCTTAATTCTTAACATACTGACAAAATGTAATCACCATTTTGTTCCTTTAGTTCAGCTCTTTCCGGCTGACGACATTGATTTTGCAGACTTTAGAAATAAATAAATAATTTGGTTATCACATACGACCCCTTATGACGAGTAAAATTAATGGATCGAAGTTTCCCTTGCCCGGACGCGGGTCACCGGGGCCCCCCTCTGGAGCCAGGCCTGGAGGCGGGGCTCGTTGGCGAGCGCCTGGTGGCCGGGCCTACACTCATGGGGCCCGGACGGGCTCAGCCCGAAGAGGCAACGTGGGGCCCCCTTCTCCCGGGCTCACCACCCATGGGGGGGGC